ATTTGTATCTCTTATGCATCACGAACTAAATTCACTGAAAAACAGTAGTGGCTTCTGTTCACTCTGGTTCTTCATGCATAAGAGATACGAATTTGTTTTGTTGGCAAAAGTTGGCAAAAGTTGTAACAAAACCTACAAAAGCTCCATGAATCTTTTTGCCGAATGCTGTTCAAGAAAAAAGTTAGAGGCAAATGAATGTAAATGAATGCAAATGATTGTCCATGCCTGAGCGCCACTAACGGCGACCACCCCACTTAAAAATCCTCTTTGACAACCTGATGGCGCTGGTGTTGCAGAATTTACACTAAATACTTAGTGATAGTAGTGCCAAGTGGCAATTTCCAACAGAAAATTTATTGATACTAGCGCCAAATTGGTCGAAAGTGGAAAATTTATAGAGGAAATCAGGAGATGCTAGCGCCACACAAGTTTCTGACTGAAGGTGGACGTCTGTTTTCTGTGGTGGAGATAAACTTGATTAAACTTTTTTTTGTATGGAAAATACGGCTCGAACGAAAATGAGAATATGGGCTTAAAATATAAATCTAGAGATTTTCCATCATCGAAGGGCTGAAAATAAATTTTAGTCAATAAATTCAACCGCAACGAAGGCTGAAAAAAGTAAATCTAAAGATGTTCCATCATCGAAGAGCTGAAAATTAGCTTAAATAATTTAATTCAATGGGTCTAGCCTGAACGAACGCTGAAAAATATGTTTAAAGATGTCTTATCATCGAGGAGCTGAAAATAAACTAGAATAATGTTGTTGTTTCTTTATTAAGGAAACTTCAAATAAACTAAAATAAATTAAATCAATGGGTCACATATGTTGTGCTGTTGATTCTAAAACTGCATGATAATCTGATATGTATACCGATACTTCTATAGAGTGTTCACTATCTCCTGACCAGAACCTTCATCACCAATCCCAATCATACAATCCGATCAGCCAAAGCCCAAACTCAAAAACTCACAAACTTACAAAATCAAGAAATCAAAAACCCTGACAACAAATCTTTAAAGAACGTTCTTCAACTGGAACCAAGGGGATGGTCACTCCGCACAGTGTGTCAAAAACAACCTTGGGCACACCTGGGCACAGTCATTGGCTCTGTTTGGCACCCATGGTTACAATTTTTCTGATCTTTAAAGCTACTGGCAACACTGAAATTTTTCTGCGCCTGCGCATGTGTCCAAATTTGTTAATGATGTTGCCACCATATTATCAAATTATTCTCAAAACACAACCGTGAATCTCCACCCAGTCTCACCATGGATTCTCCTAAATCGAATTGTCAGCGCACATCCTGTTGCCTGTCCGAAGAACTAGGTACATCATTTCACACCCTGGATTGCGTTCAATCATACAAACCACCCATCAATAGTTTGCATAGGAACACTCCGTCCTGACCGAAGTTTCCGGCCACGGCTACACGAACTAGCGATGCAGCTCCCACGGCTGCGGCTGCTTCCAATGCTGTTGCTGCTGCTGCTGGTCCGTCTCCTCTAAAATTCTTAACAATCTTGAACATTGTAGATTTACTGTAATGCACGCTTTTTGCCAATTCTCGAAACGACAACTTTTCGGAAAACCATTTGTTTAGAATTAATCGGCGAGGTGATAAGTTGATCCGACCCATCGTTCGAAATTTCACACTTTTTTTAAATTGTTCTGGTGTGCTGCCAAAAAACAATGGTTTTACACACTGAGCAAAAATTCACAATTTTTCGTTACGTTTGATAAACACCCATGGGTTACCATTGATAAACAGGTGTCCACTTTCTTTAATGAACAGTCCTTACGTGTTTTCGATGTTCTCGTTGCTCCACGCACCGTGCATCGTCTTGGAAGAGGAGAAGCACAGCTTCACGATGAACGAGAATTTTGTGCCTTTGTGATCGATTGCGCTGTGGTTGCACTTCATGATGGCGTTCATCGCTAGGGCTACGCTCGGGAACTCGACCAATCCGGAGGAGGAACTTTCCGATTTCAGCGGGAACATTCGCACTTGCGACGGGTGGCAGTCCTTGGTGGTGAATGCAGTCAGCAGCAGATCCTCGGACGGCATACGGACATATAGGTAACTCTAAGACTAGAAGGTCCCGAAGAAACGTGCTCAACTTTTTGGCTCAGCTCTGTTACTCTCTTCGGTCCCAAGCTAATCGATTCACCCCTCGAAACAAAGGAAAGTCCACGAACCCCTCATTTTATCTGTCAAACTTTCATAGCGAATCAAAACAAACATTGTGTAGTACTAGAATTTCGACAAGAATAGGGTACGTTATCGTTTGCTTGGGACCAATAGGCTAGTCAAGTAGTGAGCCAATTTAAAATCGTCAGATTGTTGATACGGGTGTGGTATTGAAGAAGTGGAGAATGTGATTTTTGCTGGTCTGGGTCAAAAGAAAGGAAGTGGTTGTTCTTGGAGGCGCTGTAGTCCTTGAAGCTGATCGAATTGTCCGGCAGGGTGTAGGGGTTGGTGGACTCTGACAAGTTGTTCTGCTTAGAAAATGCAATCTGAATTTTGCTACCATCATTTCCGATTAGAATGCTGTTCAATTGCTGGATGCTGCGTTCGGCTGGTTTGACTGCGATGGCGTCTCCCATCTGGACCATGGCGGTACCCTCTTTGGTCTTCAGGAACTTTATCCTTTTGATATTACATTAAACAGCTTATCGGTGTTGGCTGTGTTGTTATCAAGTCCGTAGACCCTCATCACTGCGCCCTGTTGCTGTGCCGGTTGAATGAAGTTGGCTGGACCGTTTCGGGTCAGCGGTACGTCCTTCATCAGTCCGACGTGTGTTCCGGCCGGTGTTGGTTTCCAGTTTACCAACGGATGATACTCGGGCGGTGAAAAATTTGGTGCAAATTCGTTTTCTCCACCGGCTCCCAGAAGGGCTGGTTTAGGACCATGGTTGACTAATGATTGACGGCCGTTGTACGGGGTCGGCCTTCCACCGAAGATGGTAGGATCGTGTAGCAACGGAGTTCGTCCGTTGCAGGTATCCTTGGAGACGGCTGCATCCAATGTGAAGTCCTAGCTGGAGTCCGTGTTGTTTTTGTAAACATTGCAAAACAAAATAAAAACAAGAGCTGTTAAAATACCGGATTGCCAAACAAAGCATTATTCACACGCAAACAAAAGTCAGTTCAATGACTTCTCGGCACTGCCGGCACACTGAGAAAAAAGTTGGCGCAAATAAAGTGTGTAGAGAGATCACCCCTTGACTGGAACAAACTCACCAAATCCAACGAAGATCTTCGTCGCATTCATACATTAAGAATTCGAATTACACTTGACCCGAAACTCGTCCAACATATACAAAATGTATACATTCTGCATATGGCAGACGGACCCGAATTATTCTGCACGATTTTTACCGAAAAACCGACATGCATGACCATAATTCCACGCACATCCTCCTCCAGCGATTCCAGCCACACAATAACTCTTGATCAGGCACTATTCTGATGAAGATCTCAAACTATCCAACAATTCAAATCACATCACTCAGATATTCACCTACGATACCAAATTGCTCAAAAATTGTTTCGAAGACCATCAGGTGATCATCGATCTCCATAAATAATCATAGTTTTTTTTTTACATGTTTCGACAGCAGAATCGCCGGGGACCTCTTCTCGTGTTTCGAACTCGTTACTTGATACTGGATTACGAATCACCGAAGCAAACAAAATTTGCACTCGCACACATGTGTAGGGATCAAGGAATGAAAAATATCTCCAAAAAATAATAAAATGCAAGCGATCAACGCTTTGTCAGAAATGGAAAGCAATAGTGATATATTCCTTTTGTTCATGACAAACAGCCTTTCAAATATCGCTCGATCGCAAGCTGTTTCACAAAGTAAAGCCGAAGATGAGACACGTGTCTTTTCTCGATTCCGATCAAGCTATGTCCTCAACCATGTATATTGCAACAAAGCAGGCAAGTAATGTATCATTCTCCGATCGAGCTGTGTTGCAGTGAGAGTTTGTTGTGGTAGTCGTAGCAAGCGTTTTGTCTGTATTGTTGGTTGCTTTATAGTATTTGTTTGGACTCGCTCGTAGGGATGAATACCAAACACCGTTTAAAACAGTGTGCTCCACTGATGGTGTTGCAGTTTCATTTTTACAATTTCCAATTTTAGAACTGTCGAGTAGTTTGAAACAATTTTCAAACTCAGCATTGCAAACGGCCTATGTAACATTGCCAGATTCTCCTCGTCGACTTCAAGCTGAACAATGCATTAGGTCCTAAGTAACATTGATCGATTCTCTTCATCGACTTTCTTTTTTGTTAATAACTTAGGTACTGAACCTTTTTCTTGCCATGCCATGTGACGTATAAAATGCTAGACACAAGCTATTGTCTATGTGCTGAAATAAGCCAAGAATCACATAACATGGTCGTGAGGATGCAAAGAGAAAGTCGACGAAGATAATCTGTCAATATTTTTTAGTACCTAATGCAGCTTGACTTTCTTTTTGCATCCTCACGGGCATGTTAAGACATTACCAGCTATTTTCAGATCATAGATCAATGAAAGAAGCTATTATCTAGCTTCTAATACCTTCTACCATCGACAAACATACAAAGTAGTACCGGTGGAAACTAACGATTTTAAATTTTTAGGAATTTTGGTTTAGGACCACGATTGACTAATGATTAACGGTTGTTGTACGGGGTCGGCCTTCCACCGAAGATGGTAGGATCAACCGGTGGAAACTAACGATTTTAAATTTGCTCACTACTTAACTAGCCTATTGGTCCCAAGCAAATCGATTAAAGTACCCCATTCTAGTCGAAATTCTAGCACTACACTATGTTTGTTTTGATTCGCTATGAAATTTTGACAGATAAAATGAGGGGAAGGGAGAAATTTGCCAAAAGGTATAAGGAGATTTCTATCCGTGCAGAAGTGCCTAACGTTCGGCACACCGTGAGGCCGTTATTCGTGCTTGCGTCTACCGTTCGGGTCGCCGTCGGCCCCCGAGATGTTCCAGAACCTGATTTCGACGTTGTTGAAAGGAATTGACGGAACAGACGTGTCTATGGATGATATCCTGATCTATGCAGAAACACTGAACGAAATCACGAAAAAGGTAGTTGACCGGCTGAAGAACGCAGGCCTAAAACTGAATCCCGAAAAGTGCCTGTTCGCAAAAAAATCGGTCCCCTTCCTGGGCCACGTCGTCTCAGAGGAAGGCCTCCATCCGGACAGTGAGAAAATCGAAGTGATTCGGAGATTGAAGGTGCCTGAAAACAAGAAGCAGCTTCAGCGTCTGCTGGGAATGGTAACATATCTCGGGAAATTCATCGTCATCCTGTCTCAAATCACAGCTCCACTGATGCAGCTATTGCAGAAAGATGTTCACTGGCGTTGAGAACATGAACAACAAACAGCATTCAACAACATATTGAAGCTGCTGAGATCGTTGCCAATCTTGTAGTTCTACGATGTCAACAAGCAGAACGTATCCTGATGAATGTGCGCGTCTTAGTGGAATACCTGTAGAATGAGAGAGAGAAGGATTAGTATTTTCCATTTAATTCCACTACTTTATTTGCTTATCCTTGATATCTGTCAAGAATAAGCAAATAAAGTAGTGCAATTAAATGGAAAATACTAATCCTTCTCTCTCTCATTATTAAGCAGAACGTGCTATCTGTCGATTGCAGTTCTCACGCTATGGGAGCTGTCTTACTTCAGGAAGTCGTTAACATCCGCGCAACGAAACTACCCACAAATTGAAAAGGAGGCATTTGCTATGCGGTTCGGTTGTCAAAAATTCCACTCCTACATCTTCGGGAAGCCTGTGGAAGTGCACGCCGACCACAAGCCTTTGGAATCGATCTTCAAAAAACCTCTCGACAAGGCACCCCCAAGGCTGAAGCGAATCATTCTTGACGTGCAACCGTACGCTCCAGAGACGAGGTGAAAATGTGCCCATCGCGGATGCTCTAAGCCCAGATGTGCAAACCCCAACACCGGAAAACGGCGAAGATTTGGTCGTCCTCAACGTGTCCAAGGTCTGGATGAAGGAGATAGTAGCAAAAACTGACGAACATGCCACACTTCGAGAGCTGATCAAGGTCATCAAGGTAGGTTGGCCGAATGATCCGGAGAAAATTTATACTGTTCTCGAAACCTACTGGAACTACCGTGACGAGCTTTCTACCTACGAGGAGCTGATCTTCAAAGGGGACCGCTTGCTGATACCTGAAACGTTTCGTTCCAAAACCATGAACATTATCCATGCTGGCCACTTCGGAATACAATCTAGCATCAAGAGGGCCAAACAGCTGGTCTTCTGGCCTTCCATGGGTCGAGACATCGAGCGATTCGTCCAACAATGCAATGTTTGTCAGAAACACAGTCGCAACAACGTGAAAGAGCCGATGAACGTCAAGCAAGTTCCTGAGTATCCATTCCAAATCGTTGGCTCAGACATATTCCATGGATCGATGGATCGACTTCAAGAAGTTACGCTCTATGGAATCATCGGAAGTGATCGATCACCTACAGTCGTGGTTCGCCGTTAGGGGAACACCCGAAGAATTCCACAGCGATAATGCCAAACAATATTCATCGCAACTCTTTAGACAATCCGCTGCGGAATGGAAGTTTGAGCAGGTAACCTCAAGTCCATATTATTCACAAAGCAAAGGGCTGAGTGCGCGTGCAGTGCAGATTGCGAAAAACATTCTGATAAAGTGCTACGATGATAACAGTTCGGTACAGCTAGCATTGCTCAACTATCGCAACATTCCACGCGATTCGAAACTCCTGTCGCCGAAGCAAAGACTGATGAGCAGAATCACCAACTCGCAACTTCCGGCTGGCAATCAGAAACTGAAGCCAGCAGTGATTGAAAACGTCAAGCACAATTTGGAGGCCGAAAGGTTTAAACAATAACGAAGTAACAACCGCGGACGGTTAATCATGTCCAATTAGGCTCTTACAAGAGATATTTATTCTCAAAACTAAAATTCCCTTACTTGCAAAATTCCTTTAACATTGTAGACTGATTTTAAAATTTAAGCAATTCATATTCCTTGAAAATCCTTGCAACCGAACCAATCGTCCACACCAAGCGTTCCCGGTTTAAATTTTTTTTCCGCTCCGTAATTAATATTCACAACCAGTAACTCCCTCAATTTTTCATCGTTTTCTTCGCTTATTGCAAAAAATGCTAATATTAATATTTTTCTCCCCGGCAGACGCATGGCGGCCCCCACCGGCAGCAACTCGATCCGCCACGCCAAGGAAACGGAAAAATCGAGTGACGGCGCAAAAAAAAAGAATCCTCGCCCAGCGAGAGAGACAGCGAGTAAATGGAAACGCACCAGTTTCCTGTACCAGAAAAAAAAAACCCACTCCCAAGAAAGCACGGGGGACAAAAAAAACCTCCGACGCGAGAGTGGCAAAGTGCATCCGACACGGTTCCAGACTCCCCCCCTCGACGACGACGACGACAACGACGTTGGTTGCGATCCACAAAATCGATTCCCGGTTGCAAAACCCGCTCACAACCTTTGCGATGTCCACGAAAGAGCGGAAAAAATCGCATTTAATGTATGCATCTTTCGCGTAACAGAGCATCCGGTCCGCGGGTCCAGGTTCCCACCCGCGCGGACAATTTCTCATTTCGGACCAAGACACACGGGCGCAGAATGTAATTTACCATCCGGGAGGGCGTCGTCCCCACCCGTCCAATCCACGTCCGTCCGTCCGTCCGGATTCGAGCGAGAAAAAAATGAACATCCAAAACAGGACACTGCAAAAAGGATGCTCGGGGAGAGCAAAGCAGGAACAGTACACCCGACTTGCATCGCGGAAATTATAAAAATTAATATTAAAAATGTGTGCTACGCGCTGGCGAGGGTTTGTGAAAAAAAAATGCAACAGAGAGAGAGAGAGAAAGAGGAGAAACGTCCAAAGGAAAAATGACTCCTGGCAGCCGAACAGCCGGGCAGCCAGAAGCGATACAGCATCCGCGTGGACCAACAAGAAGGTTCCATCCTACATCCCGGGTGGATTCCGGGTGGAAAATCGAGCGCTGGGCTGGCTGCCTGTGTGCATTAGCTATAGGTAGCATAGGACCTAGTAAAGAAGATTTCAAGGAGCTTGTCCAAAGCTGTTTTTTCTCCATTTGCTGCTGAAGAAAAATCAAGAAGAGGAACTTTCACGGTTCAGTTGCTGGTGATGAATGGAGGGGGGCCGGGAGGGGAACAGATAAATTGAAGCAATAATTAATTTTTATTTTGCTCATGTCTTGGTAATTCATTCGCTTGAACACAATTTTGCGTAGTTTCGTGTGCCTTTGGGGGCGATTCAAATATGACATCCACGAGTTTTTCGAGTTTTTACACACCGCTTTGTGTTCCGCTTTTTCCCATATTTAAAGGTTGAACACGAAAAAATCCGGACACTAAAATCAACCGGTTGGTACTAATGATTTAAATTGACTCACTAATTGACTAGCCTATTGGTCCCAAGCAAATCGATTAACGTACCCCATTCTAGTCGAAATTCTAGTGCTACACTATTGTTGCGACAGCTATAAATGAAAACCTAGGCACCGACTTCTGTAGCTAGATTTATTCACGCTTCAAACTGCAACAGTAGGTTTTGTTTAGTTTATGATTAGTTTTAACATTAGGATAATCACTAACATTTCAGTGGCCCTTGCAATTCTATCGGCCTTTCACTTTCACTGTCCAACTTCAGGTTAGGTTTAGGTCCATTATATTTATATTCTAGTTCTAGTTTTAATTCAGTAGCCTTTCTTACCTTCACTAGTTCTTAGTTAGATAAGGAACTAGATTTTAGACACTAATTAGTAGAATTTATAGAATAGCACTCTAGAATAACGAATTGAATAAACTTTCAATATAAACGTCTACCTCATGTGTATCGACAAGTTTTTGTTCATCTATTGTCCATTTGTTTTGATTTACGAAATCCCACCCATGACATCTTATCAATAGCGACGGCTTATCAGTCAAGCGGTGGAACCGGTTGGGATAGGGTGACCAACTCGACGGTACACCACAACTATGTTTGTTTTACTTCGCTATGAAAGTTTGACAGATAAAATAAGGGGTTCGTGGATTTTCCTATGTTTCGAGGGGTGCATCGATTAGCTTGGGACCGAAGATAGTACCAGAGTTGAGCCAAAAATTTGAGCTCGTTTCTACGGGACCTTCTTGTCTTAGAGTTACCTCTATGTTAATACATCCGCAAATGAACTAACATAAACAATTAAAGGTGCGCTCTTTTATAACCTCGCTATCGGCTATCTGCCTCATAGTCATAGCAAGCGCGAGAGCAAGCGAGCACTGAATAGTTGATTATGGTAAAAATGTTTGATCAATTTTCAATAGTTAACTATTCATAAACAACTATAATCTTCACACCAAACGAAACATACATCAAATTTTAATCAAGTGGTGCAATAAGATTCGAAATCCATCCATAATTGGTCAAGTTATAAGCGTTCAAAACCTGACACTATTTCGTCACACTATTTTTTTGATTTGCACCCCAGTTTATTCCACAAAGACGTAGTTCATACGTCAATATTAATCGTCAGCATGAACTACCTCTCACAATATTTCAACGAAGTTATCTATGCATTTGGATTAAGTTGGTTCGGAGAGCATCAAAACTGACATTATGATCAGATGAATAGATCTAACCTTCAATACTGCGGATCGTTAACCGAAAATTATCTGACGAAGCGAATTTCAATCGAATCTCTAGTATTCCAGCCTCATAATATCGAGAATCGAATCTCTTGTTTCGCCAGGTGTGAATCGGTTGTAGTTTTCAGTATTCAGTATTTTACAAGAAAACTGCACGCGCTGAAGCTTAAGGGTTTCGAAGGTGACGGAAAGTAAGTGTATTTTAAAAAGTACTGTAGGACTTTCATTAGTCATAAGTATTAACAGGAATATTCATTGCATGCAAAGGTAAGAGGTAGTATCCAAGACACAACCGTAGATTTGACGTAGGGTTACAAAAGGTAGTTTTGATTTCACAGCAAAAGAAAAGTAAATATTAAATTGATTTCGTAACTCGTTATCAGTGAAAAAGTTCGATAGGTTGAAATTTGGAAGCAATTTGAAAGTTCTGTTTGTGAGGTGCTCTTTCGATTTCCATGTAGTACAAGCCAATCCTGGACGATATGTCTTGGATACAAGCTCTTACTCTTTAGTTACCTCTTTTATCAGTCATTTGTGGTCCTGAAAAGGACCGATGGGTTGTAGATGACAGCTGTGCGGAAATGAAATATGTATTAGGGAAAACACATCAATCACAGAATCTGAGTCTACCGGACGGCAACATGCTATTTGATGCAAATTTTAAGCCCCTTCTATTTAGAGAATTTGGCAAGACTTTTTTGGCATAATACTCTTAATAGGAGGGGCTTAAATTTGCCTCAAAAGACATATTCGGCGACTGTGTTAGGGAAACCACTTTTCCCATCACGGAAAAGCCTCGTTTTCTGATGTGAAAATTACGCATTTTCGTGCACAAAACGCACGGAGCTTTTGGTTTATTCTATACATAATAAAAAAAAGCAAAAATTGATTGGAGGAATTTCATACTAAATTTTTTTCCAATCGTGAGATATTCGCGATCATTCATATGAATTTGAGATTTTTTTGCTTTTTATAGCGTCCTGGAGAAAACCTTACGAAGTGTTTTTGTCTGTTGTTTGGAACGAGCGGCTCACGACGAGCAACTGAATCCGATCAGCGTTTGAGGGCAGCCTTGAAAGCTAGCTTGTGGGGAGCCTTTCTTTGTGTACTGGAGAACACCACCACTCACCACACGCGGTGATTGAATGAACAGCGTTCGGTGAGACCGGATGGAATTCAATTTTGAAATCTGTGTTAGGGAAAGCGCAGGCAATCGGTAACCATTTTAATGATCATAGAAACAGTGGCACATTCGTGCAATTTGCAATAGTGCCATTTTGACAAATGGTAAATCCTTAATTTTAACAGATACGTAGAAAAATTTCCTATCGATTTGCGTTTTCAGAATTAAAATCCATCAACTCTGGATCCAAATCAGAACACTTTCAAGCCGCGACCGACTTTCGATTCTGAAATTGCACCGCCAATGTTGCCTTAAAAATATATGGTATGTTAGATTTTAACATATGGGAACTGACCTTGACCAATGTCCAAAAACCACTCTTTATCAAATTTATGGTGGTCATGAAAAGGACCGTTTTGTCATGATGGTTGAGTAATGCTGAGCAATTAGGGTGTCCAACACGGTTGAGGCTGGCGATCTGTATGTTGTTTGGAACGAGAATGACGCGCTTGGCATAGACGGCCCACAGCGACTCTCGAAGAGGGATCCCGATCAGTAGCGGTGAGGCTTATTTCTCCTTCTTCGGTGAATGGACGCTCATGAGGGCTGCAGCTCGCTGCTTGCGGGCAGCCTTTCGTTGTGTACAATGTTCAACGCCACGCGCCGAAAGCACTGCTGCTGTTGACCATCGACGACCACACACGGTGTTTGAATAAGCACCGTTCAGGGAGACAGGATCGAATTCGATTTTGAAATCTGTGTTAGGGAATGCGCTGTTTGCAGTGATGTCCAGTCACTTTGATTTTCAGTCGTATGCACAATTCATAATCAGTTTATGATTTTTTTTATGTATTCTCGTATGTCTTTGAGAAAAACAAAGCCAAAAGCTGTACATCAGAAATATGTGGTTGTCATCGAATTAATCGAAACCCATTAGAATTGAGCGAGAATACTTTCGGTAACTACGGTACTCTAGTAAAAGTATGGACGACTGTCACCACAAAACTGGAAAAAGTTGATGAACTAAGAATGTATGGTTTTGCAGGAAAAACCTCCAGACGGCTAACGATCATGTAAGATTCAATGATGACTTTGATACATTTTGAAAAGCGGAGTTTAGCTCACAGAAATCAGAAAGTTGACAATGCTTGATGAAACCTGATCACTGAAACCATCGATAAACCTTCAACTCTTTCCAGAAAATGCTACATAGGTGGATGCAGTCAATTGGGCATAATCATGATCTTTAGCAGTATTTTCGACATTATTCCAGTCCGACTTCCATTCCATTCCCATTTCCATTTCCATTTCCTTCCTTTCTGAACGACACTTCCATTTCCAGTTCCATTTCCAGTTCCATTTCCAGTTCCATTTCCAGTTCCATTTCCAGTTCCATTTCCAGTTCCATTTCCAGTTCCATTTCCAGTTCCATTTCCAGTTCCATTTCCAGTTCCATTTCCAGTTCCATTTCCAGTTCCATTTCCAGTTCCATTTCCAGTTCCATTTCCAGTTCCATTTCCAGTTCCATTTCCAGTTCCATTTCCAGTTCCATTTCCAGTTCCATTTCCAGTTCCATTTCCAGTTCCATTTCCAGTTCCATTTCCAGTTCCATTTCCAGTTCCATTTCCAGTTCCATTTCCAGTTCCATTTCCAGTTCCATTTCCAGTTCCATTTCCAGTTCCATTTCCAGTTCCATTTCCAGTTCCATTTCCAGTTCCATTTCCAGTTCCATTTCCAGTTCCATTTCCAGTTCCATTTCCAGTTCCATTTCCAGTTCCATTTCCAGTTCCATTTCCAGTTCCATTTCCAGTTCCATTTCCAGTTCCATTTCCAGTTCCATTTCCATTTCCCATTTCCCATTTCCCATTTCCCATTTCCCATTTCCCATTTCCCATTTCCCATTTCCCATTTCCCTAACGGCGCCGGTGGTGTAGTGGTAAGCGTGATTACCTCTCACCCCAGCAGGCCTGGGTTCAATCCCAGTCGGCGCCGCCGGGATGTTCTGAGGCATAACATCTCTGATCACGCCTTCCTTCGGATGGGAAGTAAAGCCGTTGGTCCCCGGTTCATGAGTTGATGGGTCGATAGGTAGGGTCCAGGTGTGGGAGCTGCCTTCCTGGCACGTCGGTAGCATTGGTGCTCAGCACGGAAAACAAGATCGACGGAAAAAACAAACCAAAAGGAAAAAAAAAAAAAAATTCCCATTTCCCATTTCCCATTTCCCATTTCCCATTTCCCATTTCCCATTTCCCATTTCCCATTTCCCATTTCCCATTTCCCATTTCCCATTTCCCATTTCCCATTTCCCATTTCCCATTTCCCATTTCCCATTTCCCATTTCCCATTTCCCATTTCCCATTTCCCATTTCCCATTTCCCATTTCCCATTTCCCATTTCCCATTTCCCATTTCCCATTTCCCATTTCCCATTTCCCATTTCCCATTTCCCATTTCCATTTCCCATTTCCATTTCCATTTCCATTTCCATTCCATTTCCATGCTTTAACCTGAAAAGATATAAAAGAGCGCTGCTGTATGGCATTAGCTCATTTTCGTGGCAAAGGAGGAAAAGGTCTGGTAAAGGAGGCGCCAAGCGTCATCGCAAAGTTCTTCGAGATAACCGCCACCGGTCGTCTGGCTCGCCGTGGTGGTGACAAACGTATCTCCGGTCTGATCTACGAGGTGTGCTGAAGGTGTTCCTGGAAAATGAGGTCCGTTATGCTGTACCTACACTAAAAACGCCAAGCATAAGTGGCCATGGATGTCCTCTTCAATAAAACGGCCCTTTTCAGGGCCATCAAGCTTACATCAGTAAAGAGTTGGAATAGAATTTATCTGTGCTTGTTTGTCCATATTCAGAACCACAAGCCCCAAACGACCACATAAAATGCTCTCCAGAATTGTAATCGTGTAACCAAACTTGGAAGCAGGGGTGCAAGTGATTTTGATTGATTCTCTTAATCAACTTTCTCTTTGAAAAAAATTACTACTAATTTGGTACGCCTACAATTCAAAAACGAAGAGAGTTGAGATAATAGATAATTGATCAATTAAAAGAACTAAATGCTCTTCACATTTATTCCGTCCACTAGCGGTCCTACGTCAAGCTTCCGTTCGTGCCCCTAGGCACAGACCCTTCTACTTTTTTGTCCTGTAGATACAGTGGCGCGAATGTCCTGGTCAGAATCATCAGAAATGTCGGATCTGTAGCGTTGAGTTCTACTTTCGGTTGAACCACGTTTTGACCTGCTGGGTAGCTGGTATTATCACTTCATGACGTCTTGAAGTATCAGCTGGAATCTGAAGCTCTGGTTGAGTTTGCTGAATCACGGGTCCTGGATTCAGTTGGTCGATACGACGTTTCCACATCCTACCATCATCCAAATCTTCTCCAAAACCACTCCACACCTCCATTTCTCCGAACTCGATAGAAAAACCCGAGCCGCTACTCTATCATTCACCATGAACGAACTTACCGCTTTCTGCTCTCCTCGCGAAGAACTCTGCCGGTTTACTTTTGGAATCATAAGATCAATCCTCGACTTGATCTGTCGTCCAAACACCAACATATATGGGCTTTTTCCTATAGAAGGATGCACAGTTCTCCGATATGCCATTAGTATATTTTGTACCTCGACCTGGATCTTGGAACGTAGACACTTCAATGCCTTGATTTTGTCTTTAAACGTCTGGACATAACGTTCCGCCTGGCCATTAGTGGCGGGATGGTATTGTGCTCCCATCTTATGTACGATTCCGTTCTTCTTAAGAAACTTTTGGAAGTTGTCCAATGTGAACTGCGTGCCTCGATCGGTCACCAAGACCGACGGCAATCCGAAGGTAGCAAAAAACTCCCTCATTCTCTCGATGGTCGTCTCCATAGTTAGATCCGGAATAATCTTCAGTTCTGGCCACTTACTGTGTGCGTCAACTATGATCAAGAAGTTCAACCCCATGAATGTTCCAGCGAAGTCTGCATGGATTCTTTGAAGAGGTTCAGAAGGTCGTTCCCAGCAGTGTACCGCCATCTTGTTAGGATTTGCTCTAACGCGAGCACAATCCGTACAGTCCCGGGCTAGGTACTCAATATCACTGTCGATATTCTCCCACCAGCAGTACGACCTCGCAAGTGATTTCATACGGGAAATTCCGAAATGACCAGAATGCAACTCTTTCAACACACAGCTACGCAACGGAGATGGTACATACACCCGTATTCCTCGCATCAAGCATGCACCTTGCATACTGAACTCGTTCTGGTCGATACCGAATCTGAAACGACCATCAACGGGTCTTCCTGCCTTCAGCCCTTGAATCAGCTCCTTGACATTCCGGTCCTTGATGGTGTACTCTCCGAGCTCCTTCACGTCTACTGGCAGCGTTTCAATCTGATTGATCTGCACAATGTCGACTTCCTCCACTTGGTTTCGAGTACTTCGATCGGTAACCGGTAAACGTGACATCCCGTCAGCATTTCCGTGATCCTTCGAAGCACGGTAACGAATCTCGAAGTCAAACGACTCCAGAAACACAGCATAATGTTGCATACGCAGCGCAGAAAGTGTTGGTAGTCCTTTGTTTGGCGAAAAGATCTGAACAACAGGCTTGTTGTCAGTTACTCGTCCAAAGAGGTATTGATAGAACTTTCTCACACCGAAAATAATCGCGTAGGCCTCCTTGTCTACCTGGGTATAGTTTTGTTGGGTAGTATTCAAAGTCTGTGAAGCGTACTGGATCGATCGCTCGCTGTCATCTGGATATATGTGACTTAACACTGCTCCAACGCCGTATGGCGATGCGTCTGTTGCTAATACCAGCGGTAAATTCACGTCATAATGCACCAGCACGCGATCCGATTGCATTTCGGCTTTAACCCATAGGAACGCTTGTTCGCAAGAATCGGTCCATTCAAATGGTACCTTGTCCTTAAGTAGATTATTTATTGGGTAAAGCTTCGTACTCAGGTTCTTCATGAACCTACCGTAGTAGTTCACAAGTCCTATGAACGCACGCACCTGTTCACGGTTTCGCGGACGTGGCATCTTCTGTAAGGCATCCACCTTTTTCTGCATCTTATGTATGCCATGGCGATCAATGGTGTAACCACAATATTCGATACTGTCGGCAAAGAACTCACATTTCGCTACATTCACACGCATGTTGTGTTCGTGGAATCTCTTCAAGACCTCTCGCAAACGACACAGGTGAACTTCGTCGTTCGGCCTAGTAATCTTTACGTCATCCAAGAAAACCAATACGCCTGGTATTCCATGTAGGATTTGCGAAATTTCCCTCTGGATGATGGCAGGTGCAGAGGCAACACCGTACATCAACCTTGTCGGTTGATACAGGCCCATGTGGGTGTTCAATGTCAGCATCGGCTGATCCTCCAATCGTACCATAGGTAAGCTTGGGCTAGATCCAGCTTAGTAAATTTTTCTCCACCAGCCATGTTCGAAAACATCTCGCTAATTGTAGGCAACGGATATTCATCGACCAGCAAACACTTATTGACCGTGAGTTTATAGTCTCCACACAAGCGAACTTTGTTGGCAGACTTCATAACCGGTACTACAGGTGTTGCCCACTTGCTGCGCTCCACTTTCACCAGAACGCCGCTTTCCACCATGCTGTGGATTTCGCGTTCCACTATATCACGGATCGAAAACGGAAGAGAACGAGCTTTGAGGAACACAGGTTTGGAATCCTGCTTAAGGTGCAAGGCAGCTTGAATCCCTTCAATTGTACCTATTGATTCGTCGAAGACTGTGGGAAACTCTTCGATCAACCCTTTAACCGCTACAGGTGGCGGTGTACGCAAAGTAATTTTGTCCACGGAACTAACAGAACCACCCAGAATGTCGTTCCAGTCCAACTGTAGCTCTTGCATCCATTCGCGTCCCATCAATAGATGTCGCTTAGTATCGACCACGAACAAACGCAACTTGTTTGTCTGGCCTATGTACGCAACTTTTGGCTCCACAACACCGAGAACCCCAATTTTGTTACCGCTGTAACTCCGCAGTTCAATGTCTGTCGGTTGTAATTTCAAGTCGGTCGAATATTTTGCCTTGTAAGCACTACTGATCAGAGATACCGGAGATCCACTGTCCACCTCAAACTGGACCAGTGATCCACCTACCCTAACCTTAAGGAAAATCTTTGACAAATCTTTGGAATCGTTATCAATCTTACATACATCAACAACATACACCTGATCTTCATCAGAATGCTCCAATTCCGAAACGTCACTATCCGCCAATAGATTTGCCGAATATTTCTTTGACATGTTCTTGCTCTTATTAAATTTCTGCTTATTTGCAGCATTAGAACTGAGACACACCCGCTTTACCCACCTTCTTACAATGGCCGTAAACTTTAGTTTTATGTTCACACTTATCTGCCAAGTGTGTCTCACTTCCGCAACGAAAACACTTGTTAATAGGGTTAGTTACCTTTCTAGCAGCGGATGCTGCTGCAGCATCTCGTATCGGCTGAGACTTCTTGCGGTCCGTCAGGTTAACATCGTGCATCCGTCGATTCAGCACTTCTGCCCCTTCACCGGATGCTTCCATGGAGAGCACGATCTGCTTCGCCTTGTCGAATGTCAACTCCTTCTCCTCGATCAGCCTCGTACGAATACGCTGGTTCCTCAAGCCGAACACCAGCTGATTGCGGAATCCTTTTTGCAAATATTCACCAAATCCACAATGCTTTGCCTCTCGCTGCAGCGTCTTAATGAACTCCGCAATCGATTCACCTTCCCGTTGCATTCGCTGACGAAACTTCCACAGCTCCACCATCTCCAGTGGCTTCGGGTCGAAGTACTCTCCAAGCAGTGTCACTATCTCATCGTATGTTTTGGTTTCGGGTTCGGTTGGAGACAAATGGTCGCATAGCACATTATACGTCTCGGCTCCCATGTAATGTAGCAGCATATTTCTCTGGTTTGCTTCTGGAATTCCGAAAATCTGCAGCGCTCCTTTGAATCTCTTCACCCATCGAGACCATTTCGATTCGTTTTTGTCAAATGGCTCGATAGCAAAAGTGGGTGGAATAGCATCAACTTGTACCGCAGCAGCAGCAGCACCACCTTCTCCTGGATTTGTCATTATTAGGCTTCAGATCAGGCACAGATTCAACACGCACACGGTGTTAACGAGCAGCAACACGTACACCACAGCAGAAATGAGTGTACGTCAACTTTTCTCCTGTCCGGAAAACAGCAACAACGAACGTAGGTATGTGTGTGTGAAGTTTCTCTTCCTTCTCGATGAGCCCCAATGTAGAACGCCTTCTATCCGGAACTTTCCTCCTCGTCCTCCTCGGTAGGAGTACGCATAGCGTCAAAACTGGAACTCTGCCACGATTCCACCGTGGCCAAACAGCAACGTAATATTTTTTTTAATGCGGGATTACTAATCCGCTCGTCGCCAACTGTTATGATCGCAGGGATTGGCCGAAGCCCGAGTGAAATGAAACAGCGTCTTACTCCTGCTAATTCACAACAAAGAATGACGTTTATTCCTTTTCTCTTGACAGTGGAAGGGTTGGCAGTATGATACACTCAAACAATTTCACCCGTTTGATCGAAGTGTTTAAACACCTGATTTTCTAAATGCACAATCACATTTACTTTAAGTGTAATTCACCTTGGTTCAATGTGTTATACACGTTAATTTATAGTGTTTCAAACTTTGAAATGTTGAAAATCTTTCACTATCTATTCAAGTGTATTGCACATTGAATCACGCTACTGTTCAAAACAGATGGATTTAAAGTGTTTTGCATTTCAATACGATGTGAATTGCTTGCTCAGAAAGGTAAACATCGATAACAAGAGTTGTGACTTTATCCTATCAACCTGCCTCATATATGAGAACAACCGTGGCACAGTGAGATCGAACGAAGACTCCGGCAGCAGCACACCCCAACAGTCCATGATCGAATCCCAAATCAGACCCATTAAAAATATATGTGAAAGCTCTGGCCTCTGGCGGTTTTGTTTATATATTTGTCGATTCATTTTTAGAGTAGGTAAAGTAGAATTCGATAAAGTAGAATATTGTAGAATATTGAACTATGGTGTGCAAAGCTATTGATATCACCATATGAGGCACATAGAATCCAAGTGTGTCACAATTCAAATCCATAGTGTTCAGGCATGGTTCATAGCATAAGATTCACACATGAAATGGATGTGATCTTTTCCGAGAATTGATAAAAGACCAGAACGGCGATAGATTTTCCTTGAAACCCCTCGGGAGGTTGTCGACGTACTCACGAAAGCGAGCTTCCTGCAAATTATTATACTCTGCTTCTACTAGCTGCACCCGTATACTTGTTTGCTGCGGTCCGGGAACGAAAGTAACGTTTTCGAGCTTTACGCAGATGGTTACGCAGATTACGCAATTGCGGATTCCACCAAGGTTGTTGGAATTGCAAACAAGATTTTCGTGTCTTCACCGGAACGGTATCTTGGATTACTTTATAGATGTTGTCGTAGAATACGGAGACGGTGGCATCAATGGTGGGCTGGTCAAGTATTTGTACCCAATCCAAGGCGGCAATCCTCGTGTTAACAACATCGAAATCATTTTGTGCAAAATTATGCTGACTGCGGGCTGCTGGGTACGGGAGGGGATGATCTCTCGAACGGGAGTCAACTTTTAGAACCAACGGCTTGTGGTGATAATCAACTTTCATAATTGCAGAGGATGGTTCAAACAGCTCGATGCAATCGGAGTCACTGACGAGAACCAGGTCAAGAAGCTTACCATTCGTGTTCACCAGATCGTTGATTTGCTTCGATCCAGCAGACAGTATGGACTCCACTGCAGCGAGTTCCTGTTCTGATGAAGCATTGAGAGGCAGAAATCCTCTGACGTCCTCATCGATGCCCCAAGCTAGATTTGGTAGATTGTAATCGCCCACAACTATGGTTGTATCGTGAGGGTTCGCCTTACCAAGGAGCTGTTGTACGGACTCAGCGTGTTTGGTGTAAATGTCGGGCTGACTGTTTGGTCGAATTTAGAATTTAGATGCAGCACAGGAAGATCGATTGATGTTGTAATTCAACGTGAACAGAAATTTGTTGGAGGTTCCCAACGCCCACAAGATGCACAGCCTTACACTTCAGCTTGGATTTCACGGCAATTAAGACGCCACCGCCACGTCGCAGTGCGTTGGTGCGAGAATGCTTGTTTACTTTGCACGATAGGTCGCCGGTTTGATACTAAGAGGAAGAGGTGACAATTGGCTTCTTCCTCTTTTATTTCTATCTCTATCTCTCTATTTATCTATCTCTATCTTTATCTTACGCACATGAAATCGGCCAATAAGAAGCTGGTTCACGTTTGACAGAAAAGTTGTTCGTTTTCGCCCGCGTATTGTCACCTCTTCTCTTAGGTTTGACAGTTCAATAGGTAGACTTGGCTTCACTAGAGTCGGTGTATAATGAGTCACGCCAAGAGAAAAACAGTTGAACTCGCATCACGGTTTTCGAAAGATTCCCTTTCTTTTAACTTGGCAAAAGAGGACTTCTGCATCAACTTCAAATGACTTCTAGCGAGCAAAAAAAAATAGCGGCTGTTGTAAATCATTCTATCAGTGATTTTGTCCAATCATCTTAACAAAAAATAGTAGAAATTCTCATTACTGATCGTTACCAAACGTATCCCATGACAATTTAATGCTCACTGCGTGTTTATGATCATTTCAGGCATAACATTTGATAACGGCACAAAAGCATTTGTAAACAATCTTTCTAAGGCCGTTTACACGCGAACCAAAGTACGCCCACGCAAACCAATAACATCATTGGATAGGGGGAACTATCACCTTTCCGAAAGTGGTATTGGTTTGCGTGGGCGTTATTTGGTTCGCGTGTAAAGGGCCTTAGAAAGTTTGTTTACAAATGCTTTTGTGCCGTTATCAAATGTTATGCCTGATTTCTTCGATTATATTTTATATTTTATTGCGATACCTTTCGTGGACCTTTCATAGCATCGTAATGTTTGTTTACTTTGCACGATAGGTAGCCAGTTTGACAGTCCAATAGGTAGACTTGGCTTCACTCGTGGCGTTACTCATTATACACCGACTCTAGATTCTACCAGATTAAAAATTTTAACAGGACCAGATCTTGTTAAAACTGACCTGGGCAACGCCGCCCCCAATTTGATGGTTTTGAAGCCACCTTGATTATCGGTGTTCAAATGACTTGAAAGAGAACTACAAATGGTCAACATCGACCGGTATTCTGGTCGTTCAATTCACAGTGAATTACGCCGAATTTAATCATCTAAATCGGGCTTAACAGAAGAATCTACTGCTATACTCAACCTCAGAGCTCGACGAGCTGAGACCTGAGAAACTACCCCTCGCCCCTTCGGTCGTGCCAACTTCAGCGGTGAATTGATCGAACTTAATTCGATTCAATCAAAGCGTAATAAAAACAAATTCTCCGATTCTCGTTCTCTGTCTCTCTCTCTCTCCATATATCTATCTAATGACAGCACCAGAAGCATTCACTGAGCTCTGAGCTTGAGCTTGAGTCGAGTGGACGGATATTATTTGACGAGAATCGGGAGTGGAGTGCGGAGAAGCAAGCGATGACTCTTTTAGCATGCACTTTTGTTTTTGTTCTACTGTGAGTGGATGGGTGGTGAAAGGGAGGGAGGTACCAATATATGCATATGCAGGTATGCGCTACTGGTTTTTATTTTCGCAAAAGAACTTCACAGAGGATTAGAGTCGGTCGGTGGTGGAAGGGGATCCGGATCCGATTCATTCACTCTCGATTGTGCACGTTTGTATATTTTGCTTTTATTTTGTCCTGCAGCATTCGTTCCGTCCCGTGCAGTTGCATTTTTATTGATTGCTGATCCTATTTAGAAAAGTTGCACGGTTTCCCGTTCTGTACTCGATATACTTTTTTTTTCCATTTGAGTTAAGAGAGAAGGAGGGGATCTTTTTTCAACTCCTGATGAACTCATTCCACCACTGGCAAATCTACACCCGGATTGCTGCGACCATGTTTGCATGTGTGTGTGTGTGTGCAAAGTGAATTTACAAAATGAATAGAACATTCTGTTTCGCAGCAACCTTTGCTCCAATCGAGAGGAGAGTGAGGAACACAGTTGGGAAAGAGATTAAATTAATATTTTAATCAAGGATATTTTATGTCGGTTTTTAAAAGCTTAACAGAATTGGAGGGAATCGAGTTAAAAGTGAACTGCGATTAAATCTATCGCGGGATTGGGACCGGAGCGGAGCCAAACTAGATCAGAGTGCTGTTGCTGCTTCGCATCAAGCGGCGGGGTAATAAGTTTGGATGTTTATGGAATGATTCAATTTTCTGAACTTCAATTCCATTCAGTGGAGGGTATTGTAATCGCATGCATCGCAGTCGTCGTCTGAAGAGCTTATGAATAGCATCCCCGGGCCTGCTTCGTTTTGAATGGAGTGTGGAAAAAGAGGCGAGACATCGTCCGCAGACCTAACCTCACCCAACCGAATTCCAGGTGACGGCGGCGACAGGCGGTTGAACTTCACGGCCCCTACTTTTGTCGTGCAAAGGTACACCTACCTCGGGGACGCACGGGATGAAATTATATTCATTTCATTGCTCGCATAATACGTAAACTGGTGATTTTTTTTTTTCGCATAAGAGGACTTTTCACGCACATCCTGCATATGCAGCGTGGCAGAAGAGAGGACAGTTGCGGACAGAGTGTGAATCGTTGCCATTCATGGGACATAACGACGAACGATGCCTGAGCTAGGATGGATGAGGATAATCATTACTGCTGACATGGCATGGCTTGCTGTTCTGACGGAGGAGGCAAATACACAAAAGCTTCCGCGCAGAACTTCCATCCAAAGGGCTACTGCGATGGATGACGACGTCCCGCATGATGAGTGAGCGAGCCGGCGAGTGCTTTTCCAATATTCCCGGAGAATGATGATCCGACGATGAGTTGCGGAGTTGGGATGTATCTTATTAGGGACGGCGGAAGGGACGGAGAGAACAAGGAATCCATCAGTCCAACGACCGCTTAGGCGGCTAGATGCCGGTTTATACATTTTTATTTTCAATTTATTTTAGACA